GACGATTGCTTGTGTGGCGATCGAAACGTCGTGATCTATTATTTTTTCTACCTACGTGACTTTACCGAAAGAACCAAAGAGTATGGATTCCTGCAGTCACAAATCAAGATTGAAGTTTTTTGTTGATCCGTTCATATAACGTTCAGATGTTGGATATCGCATAATTTATCACACATTCCTGAAGAGTTTATGCTATGCATTGGAATTAAATGCGTTGGTGATTGCCGCTTCACTGTTTGGCGGCATAGTGATCAAGTCCACTCCACCATGAACCTGCTCTAACTTTATTTCAATTCCCAGGCATGGGTAAAATTCGTCGTGAGTGATATCTGAAGCAGTCCTGCCACCCCCACACTCACCACCCTCCCTTCCCGCGCCTCCGCCCCAACTCAACTCCTGCAGCAACCTGCTGAATGCACGTTGAACTTCTTTCGTACCGTACGTAGCCAACCGTGCCAATCCGAGGTGCGCGGGGAAGAACAACATACTAAACACCAAAAAATTCAGTTCTACAGAAATTAGTTTTAATCTATATTTAAAAGTGAAAACCTCCAGTGGCTTCCTAATATCGGAAGGAAGAGCGTTCCAGACGGCCACAGAAGTGCATCTGAAAGCGCGCGATGCAGCGACCGTCTTTGTTCGATGGCCAGCCAACATGTTCACGCGATAAATGGCAATGTCGAGGTCTGCTAGCCACGAGAGGGCTGCCTGTTACCTGTTTTCATGTTACCTGAAACACAACTTATACCGTCATCTCAGCGAATTGGATGTCGTTAATTCGAATGCAGATCTGATCAGTGGAGCAGCTTGCACTGATTAGCATGTATGGACGTGCGATCAAACAATACAATTGACCAACAACAGCTGTGAATTATAATATACATTTGAATATACATATCGCATTCAGGATGAAAATAAACAATTGTATTGTCACCTACTTATTTTCTTAATGAAATTGATAATACCTTTATTTAGACATTTGTAAAGTTTCGCTTGAAGGACAGTCCAACTCCTAATATTGCATTAACGTGGGTTTAATTGGAAATTGGAAATTTATGCTTGCGGAAATATTTAATGACGCATCCATAACTCCCGCCTGCTGCCATGCACCTGAGTATCACCTGCTTATTAAATCGGCTGCACTTAAATTACACCTCGTATTTTGTTATGCTATCAAATCGCACAATATGTTATTAGCCTGCTCATTGCCTCATTGAGTTTACAAGCTCCACGACTGATTCACGCGTGCTGCTTTATTGGTGTGGTTTTTACAATCACCTGGAGGATTATGAAATTCCGAGTTTTTCTTCTTCTTCTCAACAGAAAACAATGCCACAGTCAAGGCTTTCGCGTTAATCATGAAATAATCATCCACCGAATTCGTTCTCGCCGATTTATACCGGGGGGCGTGGAGTGGTGGCACAGAGTTAGCGCGCTGCGCTATGAACCCGGCGACCTGAATTTTATTCTTGGCCGCGGAAAACGTCAGTAGTGACTGATATCTGAACTTGTTCTGGGTCGATCCCCCCCCCAAGCCCCACCCCCCCCCCCTCTTCACCAAAACCTGCGTGGTGAAGTATGATCAAAACAACCTGCATGACTGATGGAGCGTGGGAAGGCCTTCATTGAGCAGTGGATTGACAAAGATGCGTGCTTTACATTGTTTTTCATTATCATTGGAAATTAAGGGTGTCAAAGCTAGGGTTTGGCAAAGAGCTTCACAGCATACGTACGTGTGTACGCAATCTATAGCTGTACAAATATACCTTTGTTCCCCAGAGGTTTCGGAAAAATTGCCCTCTGGCCTCAATGCAGACAAAAAATCCAAGTGGGTCCACATGTTGCCCATGGGTAACGCATTGGAACGCCACTGTTCTGAGAAACAATAAATACTCCCAAAATACCGATGATCACGGATATAAAATACTTCATATAGACTAATCTTACATTCGGATGCCAGGCATTGTATCAGAACATCAAGATTCTGCACAAGAACCAAGGATAAAAGAAAAAAAATATATTTCTTGGCAGTCAAGGGCAACGAATTATGGAGACAGGGAAACTGGCGAGTCACAACAATTGACAGCAAATTCAAGAACGGCAGTTTAATTCACTTATTATTTATAGTTGAATGTACGAGACAATTGGGAGAGAAAAACAAGTTATAGTGCGCATGTGCTGTGATTTGGAGCCATCAGTGAAAAATTTAAAGAGCAACTTAAAAAAAAAGGAATGCTGCCATGGTTCAATAGTGAGTACATTAAGACTTGCGATTCAAAGGTCGTTGATTTGATTAGATCTCCGGGTGCGGCAGTCGAAACATGGGTAAGTTTATTAAATCTCCCAGCGTTGCCCGGGCCTCTGTCCAGCCAGAAGTATGAATGGGTACACCACAGCGAATCGATTGGCAGGTGGCATAAAGTGAGGTAATTCAGACCTCATCCAAGACATCTGGGCAACGTGAAAGAATCGGCCAAAACACCCCGGCTCTGTTGGGTTCAATATAGTGCAGGTCCTTCTGCCAGGAGTGGACTGAACAAGCAATTGGAGGGTTGTAAACTCTACCTTTTTTTACCTCTTACTAAAAAAAAAGACTGAACACATGGAGAATGCGAGCGGTGTAGGCTGGCAAAAGAAAGGTGTTGCAGACAGAAGTTGCAGCTGAGTGAGCAGCCTCCTACTGAGCTGCATATGTTGTAGATGGTTTCTGAAATGGTGCACTCACAATGGGAATACGTTGAGATGGATTCCTGAAGGAATACTCGTGCAGCGAATGTATCTGTTGATGATGTCATGGATGGCTGCCCGAGTGGCTTCACCTATTCCTGCTCAAACGAGCCCACCGTGGTTTAACCATAGCCTTACCCCAGTCTTCCCAACCTCTTTCCTCATGTACGCTAATCGAATTTGGTAATTCAATTTAATTTGATAATGGAATGTAGCATACCAGCGTGACTAAAGGAAAACACCAAGCTCATACGAAAATAAGTAATGTTTTCAATCAGTGCATAAGATCCGCATCGGAAACATGGACGCCGACAAAGAAACGTTTACAAAAGCGAAGAGTATGCGGAGAACCATTGAGGAATTCATGGTGGGAATTACACGGAGAGACAAGAGAGAAGGGCACATGGATGTGAGAGCAAATGCAATTAGAGGCATGAAAAGTAAGTGGACTTTGGCAAGACAAATTGCTGTAAGGGATAACGGCTGACGGATGAGATCAGTAATGGAATGGCAGCCAAAGGCGTGACCACGGCCAAGAGGATGACCATTGTTGAGATGGATTTTGATTGAAACGAGATGGATTGTGGCATCGCGAGAACATGACTGATTTCTATGATGTGGAGAAATCTTAATCCGTCAGTGTATAGACAATAGCTCATGATTATGATGTTAAAAGTGGCTGGTCATTAGAATGATGAAAGTGTCTTGTCTACCATCACATTTTTTCCCCATACTGCACATGTAATTAATCATCTCAAATTAATAGGAATATATTACACTTGGAATGTAATCTTCCTGAATGAATGCTAAATATGAACTAAAATTAATCAAGTACCCCAGCCAGAGTAAAAAAAAAATGTACCACATACTAGGCCCGTGTAGCAGCCGCACATACTGAATGACCATTGCCAAAAGTTCGAAGACAATAACGTTCTGCACGGAGAATGTACAGTATTCGGGTGGCCCCATATAGACTGCTCTGAGGAAATTCCATTAGAGAGATGCATGTTGGGATTAATTCTATTTGTGCTTCATTAAGCTCACGCTCGGAATCCAAATCTTGTTTGTTAATGACAGGTACCCTGTTATATGGCCCTGAGGAGATGCTTGCGCTGGCTTTAATGTGTGCGTATCTGATTACTTAGTGCCCCTTTTATTGACAGTTATAACGTTTTTTTTTATTTAATTGTCTAATTTGTTGGGTAACAGCCCATCTTAAATAACCGTGGTTTCGTTGTTTATTTTGTATTTTTAATTACCCTGTTATTTATTGCACACGCTGACGATTTACATTCAAAGGGTACATATTTACATAAAGCATTTGAAATTCAACCGAACAATTGTGATGCATATGCCTACGGATTGTGACACAACGTATGCGAGCATTATATTTAGTTATGATACAATATATTTAGAGATCGTTAAAATACATGTTTGGACAGGGACAGTAGTCATTAGGGTTGGTCAAAGTGAAATCGTTGTCATTCCCTATACATGTCAAAGCAAAAACACACACACACTGCATCCATTGTTATCATGGTGCTTATAATGAGGTTATTAAAAATAAGGTAAAGATGCAGCCTGGACAATTGCCTGCTCACGCCACTGCTGGCAGAAGGGCCTCCACTAGAGGGAGCTCTACAGGGCTCCTCTGGAGGCTATCTTGTCCCCACTCGCTCATGCTCGACTACCCACACTTTACCCCACCGCATGCGATCTTCCGATCGGCTAACCACGGTTGGATCCATTTATAGTGCCGGGTGGACAGGAGCGTTGAGATTTTATTGTTTCAACCGCCGCACCGGGAGAACGAATGGAACTGGCAGGCTTCTGGATTGCGAGCCCGGTGCGGTCATTTAAAGATTTAGGTTCGATATTCTGGTGGAGACTTCACAGGTGGAGGAGCTGCTCCCATTCTAGCACTTTGTCCATATTGGATCATCGTTGCGAGGCTTATCGTGACCCCAACCTTGCAGACGGACACCAGTAGGCAGAGCTAAATGCATTAAAGCTCAGTTAATAACGGTTCGTCGCAACAGTGATGCCAGTGTCCTGTACACAAGTTTGGTTCGTATTGGACTGCCGCTACGAGGGTTATCGCCGCTGCCAAGTTACAGGCGGACAGACGGATAGACAGACATACAGACACACACACGCGGGAGGGTCAGACCAGACGGAGCTCGTGCATGGACAACCTTCGTTGTAGAGCGTCGGTGGTGACGACGACGGCGGCGGTGTGCGTGTGACGCGTGAACGACCCGGGCTCCCCGCAGGCGGAGGAGCTGCTCAACACGGCGGTGCTGACGGGCCGCACCGTGGCGCTGCCGCTGCGAGTGCTCGTCGTGGAGGAGAGCGGCCTCGTGACCGACGTCTCCGAGGAGGCGCAGTGCTACTCGCTCGACGAGGACGTCCTCAAGGTGAGGACGTGCTCAAGGTGCGGACGGTGTTCGTGGTTCGGCGGAGCGCGAGCCGCTCGTTGCGAGGGTCCGCTGTTCGAAGTCAGCGGGCGCCCCTGGTTGTGAACCACAACGTGCACGCCGCTGCCTGCCTCGCAGCAGGTGCTAAAATATCCCGTGACATGGATCAAAAATGAGTAGGCCATGTGTGTGTGTGTCCAAAAACGTGTTGTTGTTGTTGTTGCAATGTTTTCCCTGGTTTTATCCCAAATGTGCTGTCAATTTTCGCAACACGAGACGATGTATCCATGCAGATCTCTCACAGCGCATGGGCCACGGAAGCAGATACCACAGAGCTACCTCTGAGATCCCTTCTTCAAGTGACTTCTGGTGCACACAGTTGAGGGCAGCACTTGCCCACCCACTCTGAGAATGAGAGTGACTTTGGTCCCATGACAGTGAAACTGATATTTCATTCTCACAGTTCGAATTGAGCCAATTAAGTGCGGAACCAAATTTCATGGGATGTGTCCTTCATTGGAATGTTAGGTGACTGCCAGCTATATCTCCACTGCCTCCAACTTGTGCATAGAAAGGCAACCCGTATACACAGGCACCCATCCCATGTGCACAGACACTCCTCCAATGTACCCAGACACTCTTTCTGCGTACCATAGGCACTCCATTGTCCACGCTGCTGCTTTTGGTTTATAAGATAAAAGTGTAATTGCTGAAAAACGAGCTAACAAAATATGAATGGATAAAAACAAACTGCATGTGATTGATGATATGCACACATCTTTCAAAAGTCAACAACAGTATAATGATGAATTAAACAAACAATGTAATTCAGCCAGCTGCTGATAGCGATCATAAAGCAAACAAACCCACCACTGAACAATTTTTCCTGCTCTCCATGTCAGACTTAGAAAAAAAAAATATTGGTGTGCATTGCCTATCTGTGTACTCCTGTTTACAGGAGTCCATGGTTTTTTTTGCAGCAAAAATGACAAAACATTTCTCAATAAATCAACAGCAGCACGACTGTTGTTGCACGATGCGTGCATCTTACATGTCTTGGCTGACTTGTGTAAAATCGGTGCCGCTCCGTGTACACACACGGTGATGCTGTAAATTTTACAAGTCAAGCATTGGTAGAACAAAGAGACCAGCCAATTTAATTGCTCGTGAACGGTGGCGCTATTTGAATTCATCGCCGTGAATGTAATCCCATTGCTCTCCAATGTTTTTTCCGGAGGTGGAAACCCCTGTGCAGCATGGGGTGCGAACGGCCACGGAGTAGCATAATCCAATTCGTGTTCGCACCAGCCACGCCACGCGTCCATATGTTCCACCTCCTGATCTCTAGTACTCCAAACTGGCCCTTTATATCCCCTTTGTTTGCCCAATTCCACTCACCTTGCATCAAGGGGTTTACGTCCATGAATAGTCCCCCCTCGCCCGGCAGATGTTGATTGCTGCCAGTGCTATTGCATTTCAATAATACTGCAGTGGCACTAAACATTTATAGCCCTTGACTGCAGCTGTTTTGAATTAACTCAGCCTTCAATCCCTCTGGAATTTGGAAAATAAATGCCACTATGGGGAACTTCAAGCAGTCATCCCGCGGATGGACTAGATCCTACCATAAGAACGTGGAATTGCCACCACTTGCTCACATTTAAGTAGAAAGACATTTTGACGTGCCTCCTTTTTAATTACACCATGTTAGCGTCGCTCCGGACGGACATGGATGGCCAGATTAGGTGTTGATCACAACAATCCATCATGTGCCTTGCTGCCCTTATTAGGCACTCAATAGTACTTATTCCATTAGTCTGCAAGGATAAATGGCAAATATTCGTGTGTATTTGTCGTCGTAAGGGAAATGGTGGTGAGTGTAACGGTGAGTGCTCTCCGCTGCTCTGCTGCTGGTGACCTGAATTTACATCTTTGGCTATGCACAATGGTAGTGACGAGGATATCTAAGACTAAAATGAATTCCTGAACACACTGTTCCTTTGTCTGCCACTTGCCATGATATCCCTTAAAACTAACCAAGGGAGATCTTTGTTGACAATTGGATGATGTATTAATTGTAAGAAAATAAGCCGACTTAAAATAATGTTGCCAACTATTTACACAGGAAAGCCTCATTGGGTCTCAGGATATATTTGTGTTCAGTAGGGTTCTGACATTGGAATGTTGGGTTAATACCATTAATGCTAAAACAAATACTCCAAGAAGGCCCGTGTGGCCTATGGGTCGTGTAAAAAAAAAGATTAATTGTTTTACGTGGAGAGACAAATATGGGTCAGAGGCGTCTTGTCTGTTTATTAATTTCTTCCATGAACGGGTGTTTGTCTTTGGGAAAAAACCAACGGAGCTGGATAAATGGGATGCATACAAAAGGTGTGCCTCTCCTTCTGCTGTCATATGGTGGGGAGTTTATCAGCAACACTTACATCGCCCTGCGAAGGTTGACGAGTGAGTGAGTGAGCCATTGGACGGCTTCGGGAGTAGGCTGGTGGATATCTTAAACGCTGCTGCCAGCAAATGAACGACGTGGACAGTGACGTCACTATGTTGTCCATGGTTTCAGATTGGGTGACCTTAGCTGCACCCGTGGGCAGTTGCTATTTGTCCCTTGATGTAGGAAATAGCCGTTACTGCGGTATAGATTTTTTTTGTAATCATGGTCGCGCCCTTTCTCTCTCTCTCTCTCCATGTATATGTATGCATACGCTGCATAAAATATGTAAAAAAAATCTCTGCATCGCATTAAATTAACACTTCACTGGACGTGCATTAGCCTCATTAGGCTGCTGCTGCTGCAGAGTAAGGTTTTTAGAAGTTAATAAAATTACACAGCATGACTGGTTGTATGTGTAATTTTTATCTAAAACAACAATTCATAATCAACGTTTATGGGTTTAGATCGCGTTTATTTATAAATGTGTCGTAACCCTCCACCACCCGACACGGCCAATCAGTAAAAATGTGTCATGTTGACAAAGACACATTTTTACTGATTGGCCGTGTCGGGTGGTGGAGGGTTACGACACATTCATAAATAAACGCGATCTAAACCCAAAAACGTTGATTATGAATAACATTGGTCGCGAAAGCCTACGTGTTCAACTAAAACAACAATTCCCGATTTGCATTTGTAAGTAAATATAGAAGAAATCATTGTACGACTTTAAAGAAAATGCCGAAAAATAGTTGCTCTCTCTGGGAATGTTTCTTAAATTGCTACAGTTGTAAGAACTATGTTATGCAATTTGAGCTCGTCACCAAACATTGTTGAGAGGCAACAGTCATCATTAGCCACTGTTACAATTCTGGAATGCTGTAATGATAACCGTGGCTTACAAACAATGGGACAATCACTAGTTATATTCTTTTTGGTTCTGTTGCTATGCAATTTGTATTAATCGGGGGGGGGGGGGGTGACAGTAATTTGTATTCGAAGCAGAAATTAATGGCATCCTTTGGGTCAAGTTTCATAATACCCAGGTCACATTAATATGCGCATCACCACAATGCCCTACTGTTAGCCAAGGTCTTTAGTTTTGTTTGTATCCAAATACATAATTTATTAACAGAAATCATTACGTGCATCACGCGTCATTTTAGCTCTGACATCTGTATCTCATTATGAACCTCTGCAGGTCGATAAGGAAAAGTGTCCTGTATCTGCGAGCTAATTTGGATCTAATGGGCAGGGTTTGCTTGGGTCTTGGTCTGGCCATTGACTCATCATTGGCTCATCAGCGGGGAAGCCTTGAAGTTCTGCTTATCAGCGGGAAAGCCTCATCAATGGCGAGAAGTCTCGAGGTTCTGCTGTGTTGACCCTTGGAGAGCTGTGAATACAACCACAGATTACCCAGCCTCACGGATAATGCCAGATTCTTATTTTTAATACACATGCATACATCCACGCACAAAGAGTGAAGAGGTTCAAGTTCAAGTTCATTTATTAGGTGTAGCCCTGTGAGCCGTTCGGCTCTTGAATCGGGTGCAACCGCAACAAACAAAAAACAAAAACATGAACAAAAAACATATTAAAGTGAATATGTGACTAAGTGCAAACAGAAAATCCAAGAAAAGACAGCAAAATATTGCAGAAAAAAACACCGTACACCAACGCTGTGTGCAAAAATCCCAGTGGGATGCAAGTCAAACAACAACAACAACCATAAGGCAACTTAGATTAAGGCCATCAGTCTAACTCTGTACTAGAACAGGATGAGTTCAGATTTTCACTCACCACTGATGTTAGTCGTGACCGTGAATAGAACTCAGGTCGCTGGGTTCACAGTGCAGCACACGAACCACTGCTCAGCTGTCCACTCAAGCAACCCTCACGATTAACGTGTCATGGGAAAGGCTTCGTCCAGCCGTTGGTTGACAAAGAGTTGTTCACGTGTATTATCATTGACCGTGAATAGAACTCAGGTCGCTGGGTTCACAGCGCAGCACACGAACCACTGCTCAGCTGTCCACGCACTCATTAGCGTGGCGAAGCTCGGTCAAGCAACCCGCACTATTAACGTGGCATGGGAAAGGCTTCGTCCAGCAGTTGGTTGACAAAGAGTTAATTCAGACGCTGTCGCCTCGACAGACCTGTTCTTCACCTGAGGACGGCTGCTTGCGTTGTGGCCGAAACGTCGTGAGAATTATTTTATTATGTTTTATTTTTATTATTTTATTACTTCCCTTCTACGTGACTTTACAGAAAGAACCAAGAAGATGAATCCCTGCAGTCACGAAAGCTTTAAATCGAAATTTGACAAAGAGTTGTTCACGTGTATTATCATTGAAGAGAAAAAAAAGAGCCGAGGCCATTTCCTGCTCAACTAAGTATTGAGGCGGTGCTTTATCGATTCTTTATATTCCTGAGCCAGTGGTAGAATTTTCAATTCGCATGGTAGGAGTGTGCCTATCAATAGGACAGCCCACTGGTGACATCCCCAAAAAATTGGTATTCATTTTGTTGACTCCAGAGGAATGATGGACTGAGTCAACACCTGGCCAGGATTTGAACTTGAATTACCATTATTATTATTTACGGTATACAGTACAGCACATGTACTGTAATACAATTCAGTACATAACAGTATGGGATGCCTTTTTGTAACAGAGCCAACGCCTATGTGTGACAACCTGACATTTTGCTCTTAGTATGTTCACGATATATGAATACTAAAAAAAAAAACATTTAATTTATGCTATCCAAGCAGGTGACTGGGTGTATAATTTAAAAGTGCAAAAAAAATAATTTCACCAGCTACCAAAACGTGTTCTACGTTTAAGTAAAATCTACAAATAACTAAAAATATTATTTGTATTTTTGCTGAAAAATTGCAAAAAAATAAAGGAAACATGCCTCTTGGAATGAGCAACTTGATTTCTGTGACAGATGACATTAAAATGTACCTGGGCAACAGGCCTTTTCCCTCAAGGCAAATGCTCTGCAGGCAGATCAATGTCAAGATGTGCATTGCACGATTCCGAGAGTATTGTTTGAATTTACTTTGAAATGGGTATATGACTTGGGTAGTGCCTTTGCACTGGGTACTTTAATTTTGAACGATACTGTTGAGACAGCGGAAAAGAATGGGATCAGCTGTGTTAAGAGTCTTATTGGGTCTTTCGATGAATGGCTAAATTGCCAACGCACTCTGTGACACGACTTTATGAAAGTGTATGCAAATTTTTCTACATTAGGCCACATTACAGGCTCAGTCAAGTGTTTTTTGAAAGATACGATCAGCTCTGTCAATGACCCGAGGCTTATTAATTGCTTTGCCAACCCAGAATGCATTTTAGATAATGAATGAACTAGATTTGTTGAGGAAGGCCTTACATTAAAATAGCACAAACCAATTAAATGTCAGATACAAATACAAAGTGTGTGAATATTACAAAAAAGCCAATTTTTGAACTAACTTGAGTGATGCATGCTCAATTTGCAATTCACACCTCATATGACTACATTTTTACATTGTGCAGTACATGGATCTTCCAATGAACCATAATGCAATGTTACCATTCATGATACTGAAAAATAATCATTTTGTTTTATAATATATATTTTTTCCACGAAATATTAGTAACTCACACCACAGAATGGTTACGACCTTCCATAATTCATTCAATACAATCAATTTCGGCGGTTTTATTGGTATTCCAGAAAATATAACAACTGCCTTGCAGTGCTAAGAAGATTACAGCACTAATATTTCTGTCAAATACGTTGATTCAGTCTTTTTTTCCCCTCTGTGCAGAGGATCACAAATATTGATTGTTTCGTAATTTTCCCACGATGGTGAGCAGGTGTCAGCAGGCTGCGAGTACGTGTACGTCAATGGCAAGGAGAGACAGGGCTCCACGCGGGCTCGCGTTCACGTCAGCTACGAGCACATGCGCGCCTCCCTGGATCTGACCGTCTGGATGCCCAAGCTGCCCCTGCAAATACAGATCTCTGACAACATACTCAACCCCATCAATGGATGGCAGACACTCGGACCCTCCACAGGAAGGTATAGTGCCTCCGATTCCCCGGCACCTCCGGTTTGCACGGTTGGCTACATACGATGCCCTCTGTGAAGTTCACGGAATGGGGAAGCCTTTATTCAGCGGTGGAATTAAGAGTGTCCTAAATATTTTTGGTTCGGAAATTGAGAGAGTGGTAGCAGGATGGATGTTTAAATCTGGTGACCCGAAGTTGAATTCCCAGCGACAGATAACATCGGTGGTGAGTGACATCTGAACCAGTTCCGCTTCCAATGGATTCAGATGGTGCACCCCTTATAATTAGTGATGTAAACAAAGCAAATCCTTTAAAGAGGTACACTTCAACTTTTCCTCTCTCTCTCCATGATATGATCTTTATGGTGGGACCCTGGGGTCCCGAATTAACTGAAATCAAAATCGTTATTAATTTATTTTGGCGACTCCGTCCCACCGCGTACATAAACGCCGTGACCCACCTGGTGCGGATCATTCTGTTGTCAAGTCCTCCAAGCGCAGCAGCGAGGACGAATGCGCATAAGAAACAAAAGTTTGAAACTTTGATTAGCGCATTGAGGACAGACACGTTCAAGAGGTGTACGGTCTGTTCTGTTATTTCCCCACAATGGTACTAATGACTATTTTATATTCTTGGTAAGCATCACCGGCTCATATCTACCCAGTCTGATTTTAACTGCATTATAGGTATGTTTCCAGTGAAAAGGGGGGGGGGGGTAGAAATCAACAACTCTGGGTATATTCAGCATTGTCACTTTTGAATGATCTCACAGACCTTCAGCGACATTCCGAGTAGCCCATAACAAGCAATGGGCGGCAATGGTATTTTTTCGGAAGAACTATGTAATTTCTCACTCTCCAAAGTTTTTTTTTATTCAACTATACAGTAAGATTAGCACTGTACTTCAATGTCTTGGCGGCACAAGATTGTCCATCACATAATTTTTGTTCACGTTTTGGGAAATTGCTGTCATCCGGAGTAAAGGTAATGATATATTTTTTTTTCAGTCTTCGGCAAGAATTTGTACTCCGAGTATTGCACCGTTAAATTTCGATTTTAAGCTTTCGTGACTGCAGGGATTCATCTTCTTGGTTCTTTCGGTAAAGTCACGTAGAATGGAAATAAAATAATAAAAATAAAACATAATAAAATTATTCTCACGACGTTTCGGCCACAGCGCAAGCAGCCGTCCTCAGGTGGAGAACAGGTATGTCGAGAAGACAGAGTCCGAATGACAGTCTGAAAGACAGAGTCTGAATGACTCTGTCTTCTCGACAGACCTGTTCTCCACCTGAGGACGGCTGCTTGCGTTGTGGCTGAAACGTCATGAGAATTATTTTATTATGTTTATGTTTATTATTTTATTATTTCCATTCTACGTGACTTTATCGAAAGAACCAATAACATATTGCACCGTTGTTCCAGATTGTGCAGCAAAATAATGAATTGTTTGGATCCGTGTTAGTGGTGTCATTTTAACTCAATAAAAAATGGCTGCCAGAGCCTCTGCCGATCTTCCAGATAATGTAGATAAAGGAAAAAGTGAAGTGCACCTTGTCAAGCCACTTGTTATATTTGTATCATAAACTACTAGGGGTGCACTGTTTGGGTGAACTGGGAGCGGAACTGCTACAGATATGTGCTCCCAGATGCCTCTGTGTCTGAGAGGGTGTGTAAAATCTAGTGTTGTTTATTTTTTAACGTGGAGGGAGAGATATGCGAAGGAGGCATATTTCCTCCTATTTATGTTTTGGTTCTATGTCTACAGAACTGCACAGCACTCCCGTGAACACAATCTGTGAGAAAGATCCACTTTCCCATTGTTCTCGATCCGCTGTTCTGCCCTCTCCCCACTTTCATCAACCTGCAGGTGACCCAACGTGGAGGGAGGATGGCCAAATTAGTCCTCATTTCCTGTCGGCACTCCTCCAGCAGTGATTCGACAAAACGGGCTGTCCATGTACAACGCGTTTATTGTACAACGTGTACAGCTCTTGATAAACCAAATTCAGAGAGAGGTGGACAATCATGATATTTCAATTGTAGCATGATTTAAGTACAGTTAGTGTGTGTGTGGGTGTGGTATTTTTTCCTTCCACTGAGTTGTTTTAATTTGACCATGAACCCAATTGCACGAGAGTAGCGTTCATTGTTGATGCAATCCTATCGGCACTCTCCGTGTGTGTTCCGCGTGAGTTATGTACTCGCACATGGGGGTAAAGCGTGATGTGAAATGCTCCACTGAATTGCCAAATGGGTCCTTGCTCTTTATGGGTGCCTCCACTGTCACTACTAAAAAGCCCTGCACCGTGCAATGCGCGCAAGTGTTTCCCATTATTATTGGTCGTCTGATTAACAAATGGAATGTAACGTGTTTAGTATAACTTTGGGGATGTCCACTGGCCATCTATCGTCGCAACACGCCGGAGTGGATTATTTTGTATATTGGCATTGGATGTAGGCACAAGTTCCGTAATTAGCCATGGACCGCTTTGCCTTTGGACACGAGACAATCAGAGTTTTTGAGCTATTTACGTCTGTCTTGAAAACTCACCTTTTTAAATCCTTTATGTTAAGTTCGCTTGCTTGCTTACGACCGTGCAAATCTTTCGGTCGTTTTTTAAACCCACTTCCCGTGATCCAATCGAGCTGACATTTTCCACACAGACTCGTTGTGCGTGACAATTAATGTTCGTGAAATTTTTTTTCCAAAAGTTTACACTTTTTAGGACAGAAATATTATATTTAATTACCAATTGCTTAATGGTGCAATGCAATCATCTGACCCATAGGTGGCAGCCATCTCAAGCCAGAGGACGAGAGAACTCTAGCCGCCACGCATATAAAGGATTTATAGTGGAAAACTTTGTTTTTACGGGTTATACTTGTTTAAACTGGCTTAGCGCCCACTACTTCTGGCTGATGTACCCTGCAGGTTATGTTTCTCTTCCTGCTTTCCATGCGCAGCACATCGGTATCCGTGGCTGAAACGTGCCTGACAAATGTCAATCGTCATTAGTTAATATCCAAAAAACAAAATCATACTGTACATCTTGGCATAGACAAATTAACCCTGCCCTTTAAAGTTTTCAAAGCCATACAATTACAATGGCGCATTTTCGACATTAATGTACGTAAAAGGCTTAGCAATATATCTAAACTAGCTGTACTACCCGGCTTCGCCCGGGACTTGTATCCACCACGGCCGGCCGCCTTTGTCTCCCCAGTGGCGATGTTAATACGCCACACCAGTTACTCGTTTGAGGCTGAGTCGACCTATGGGAGGTTCAAATAATCTTGACTGGTGGTGGCCGTGAGCGGGAATCGAACTGGGTTCGCCGGGTTGGTAGCGCAGCGTAGCGTTAACCACTACACCCACCGCTCCTCACACACACAGACGCACAGACACACGCACAGACACACACACAGACACACGCAGACACACACAGACAGACACAGACAGACACACAGACACACAGACAGCACGCTAACCACTGCACTACCGCTCCCCACACATCACACACGCACACACACAGACACACACACAGACACACACACAGACACACACACACAGACACACACACAGACACACACACAGGCAGCACGCTAAGCACTACACTACCGTTCCCCCTACACACCACACACGCACACACACAGACACACACACAGACACACACACAGACACACACACACAGACACACACACAGACACACACACACAGACACACAGACACACACACACAGACACACACACACACAGACACATACACACAGACACACACACACAGACACACAGACACACACACACAGACACACACACAGGCAGCACGCTAAGCACTACACTACCGTTCCCCCTACACACCACACACGCACACACACAGACACACACACAGACACACACACAGACACACACACACAGACACACACAGACACAGGCAGCACGCTAAGCACTACACTACCGTTCCTCCTACACAACACACGCGCGCGCGTCCATAGATACACATACACGCGCTTGCTGCAGACACACACGACTTTGAGGGTGCGTACGGCAGTAAACGACTGCAATAATAAAGCGGCAATGCTGCGCGAGGAACGCCTTAGACCTGCAACACATTTGTGTAATGCGAGCGTAAACACACAAACACATACAAACACATACACACACATACACACAAACACATACACAACAACAACAACAACAACAACAACCGCCATTCGCCACTAAGTGGCGGTGACGTCACCACGATGCTTGTGCCAGGCCAAGTGCACCTTGAGGCCACGTGAAGTGTCGAAAGCCCGCTGGCAGGAGGTCACGGGGCAGACCCAGGTGCCACTGGTCGACTGACCGAGATGACCGAGATGACTGGCTGATGCACCACCTGTGCCCCCTACTGTGCCAACTTGCTGTGCTTTAGCCACCCGGCGCTCCGCTCGTTGTTGTGAGCGTCGCTCCTCCGCCCTCCGTTGTTGTTGGAGGGCGACTGCCTCCAACTGCCCAGTAGCGTCCTTCACGAGCCTCCTCCACTGAGGCCGATCTTGACACCGCTGGTACCAGTCATCGGCAAGTCCACTCAGCTCCACGTCCTCCTGTACCACATCACTCCATCTCTTCTCCAGCCCGTGCCGCGCCCGTCTAGCCCCCTCGATCCGGCCGAACAAAAGCTGTTTAGGCATGCGGTGGCTGGGCATGCGGGCTACATGACCCAGCCAACGCAGCCTTGCCTGCCGGAGGAGCTCACTGATGGGACTTTGCCCAGATCTTTCAAGGATTTGTGAGCTCCTCACACAATCCAGCCTGGTTAAACCCAGGATGGATCGTAGGCAGGCCAGCCTAAATGTTTCCAACCGGCGAAGATGCTCCACCAGGGGGGTCCACGTCTCGCAAGCGTAGAGAAGGGAGGGAATGACCGTGGCCGAGAAGACCTGAAGCTTCGTGCGGAGCGACAGACCAGGTAGCTTCCACACAGCGTTACGCAACCGATGAAAAGATATTGCCGCTCGACTGATTCGGAGTGAGACCTCTGCTGATAGACTGGAGCCGGTCATAAGCACACTGCCCAGGTATGGGAAACTCTCCACTCTCTCCACAACTGCCCCATCACCAATTGGGAGTTGTGGGGGTGGAGTGTCCGATGGTACAAAATACCCAGGCAGGTGCTTGGTTTTGGTGGGGCTGATGGTAAGGCCCCACCTCTTAGTGGCACGCTCCAGTCTCAGCAGCAGCGCCTCCAACTCCTCTTCTGAATGAGCAGCTATTACCAAATCATCGGCATACATAACGTGGTTGACCAATAAGGAGCCATCCCTTGATCGCACCCGGGCGTCGATCAGCCTCCCATTATATCTGTACCAAACGGAAATTCCCCCGGTACAGCTATTGAAGGCTTCACGAACTACGCGGTCAAAATAGATGTTAAATAATGTGGGAGCCAGAGGACATCCCTGTCGCACCCCAAGGTGTACAGGGAAAGGCTCCGACTCCCGGCCACGTAGTTTTACCCGGGCCCGCTCACCATCATGAAGGTCCTTAATGATCGTGAGCAGAGGGTCAGGGACTCCGAAAGCACGAAGAACAACCCAGAGTCCAGTCCTACTGATGGTATCATAGGCCTTGACCAGGTCAATAAAGCAGAGATGTAGGTCTTTTTGGAATTCCCTACACCTCTGCTGTAGCAGACGGACAGAAAATATGGCATCTGTGCAGGACCGCCCTTTCCTGAAACCGCATTGGGGCTCCGCAAGCCCCTCCTCAGCGTGCCTAGCAAGGCGATGTTGAATAATCCTTGCCAGGACCTTACCCGGCACACTGAGGAGTGAGATGCCCCTGTAGTTGTTACAGTCTGTGCGGTCCCCCTTCTTAAAGAGGGGGACCACCAGGGCATCCTTCCAGTCCTGCGGAACCCGTCCAGTGGTCCAGACTGTTGTTATGATGTCATATAGGGCAGTCTGTGCACAAACGCCACCCTCCCTCAGCATTTCGCTTGGGAGATCATCTCTGCCCGGTGCCTTCCCTGGTCTCAGACTCCGGATCGCCCTCAGTACTTCCTCAACAGCTGGAACCTCAGCCAGCCACTCACAGGGGGTGACCTCTTCCAATATTTGAGGCACCGCAGCCTCAGCAGGGTTATCCCCACTTTGTGCCATGATGTTTTCCTGGCTGAGAGAATTTCCCTCCCCCAGGACCTCACAGAAATGCTCAGCAAATCTGCAAACCTGTTCCTGGGGGTCGGAGATTGGATCACCGTTTTTTCCTCTAATGATGGTAATAGGTGTGGCGCTGCAGGTTACTTTTTTGATGGAGTTAAATAGTGATTTGTGATCACGGGCCACTGAGGCAGACTCCATCTCCTCAGCAACCCGCGACCACCACCCATCCTTACAACGCCTTACGGCTCTCCGAACTTCCGAGCGAAGGCTGCGGTAAACCTCCTCATTCTCTGACGTGGGATGCTGTAGGCGATGAGAGTGGGCCTGTCGCTTTTTCTCAATTAACCTGAACACCTCCTCTGTCAGCCAGGGTTTCTGGGGAGGTCTGGACCGCGTACCCAAAGCAGCCATTGCAGCTGCATGAGTCACAGTCCTAAACCTCGCCCATTTACCCTCGACATCAGGTGGAGTGGGGGACGATGCCAACCCCAGCTGCAAGCGATGATGAAATTCTCGCTTGCAACTTTCATCAGCTAACTGAGACCAGGCCACTTTTGGTTGGAATGGGATCCTGGGTGTACACCCACCACCGGAGTGGAAGAAAGGCAGGCGCATCTTACAGATGACTAGTCGATGGTCAGAGGACAGATCAGCTCCACGGTAGGTCCTGGTGTCAAGGACATGGGTTCGCATCCGCTGGTCCGTCACTATGTAGTCCAGCAGATGTTCTTGCTTGGACCCGGCATGTATCCATGATGTTGTGTGGATGCGCCGATGCCGGAAGAGCGTGTTGGTAATTACAAGCCCATGGGCTGCACAAAAATCTAGCAGCCTCCTACCGTTATTATTGAGCTGATCTGGCCCATGCCTTCCAATCACTCCAGACCAGGTGTCAGCATCATGACCAACTCGGGCATTGAAGTCACCCAACAAGATGACTCTGTCCCGAGTGGCCACTTTAGCCAGCACCTGTGACAGGAGGTCATAGAAAGCGTCTGACTCATCGGCTTTGCTTGCATCCCTCCACGGATGTTCGTCTTCGGTGGGGGCATAAGTAACCACGACCACCACTCCTCGCCTCTGGTTGATGGGAAGGCGAGCCCAAAGTATCCTGGGGCTTACAGCTTCCCACACCTCACCGCCACGCTCCCACGCCCCCTTCATTCTTTTGTTCAGAAGAAGAGCCACACCCTGTTGTTTGGCAGTCTCCTGCCCCGAGTAGAGGACTGTCCACCCCTCATGGTGGCAGGAGCCAGAACCGGTCCACCGGACCTCCTGAATGCCACAGAGATCCAGGCGGTACCGGTCCAGCTCCCGACAGAGGAGTGGCAGCCTCTCCTCCGCAGTGAGCGTTCGAACATTCCACGTGGCCATCCGCAATGGTTTTTTGTTGTTTCTGGAGGAGCCCCGAGGGTGAAAATTCAATCTCCTGGCTCCGCCAAATGGGGTTTGGCCAGGAGACGTCATAAAAGCCTGACCCCCCGGGGCCTCCGGCACAAGCTTATTTGTTACAGATTTATGTTTAATTCGTGGTTTAGTGGTAATGAATTGAAGGTGGAGGGGTTACCAGCCCCTCACACCCGTCCAGAGCCCCCGTTTAGCCACTGTGGTGGTCACAGACGCCATGAGGGGAGAGGCCAATGGGCATTGGCCCTCCCCCCACAGCACTGCCCACGACAGTGTTGCCCGTCCGGCACCGCGAGGAGGTAGGAGGTTGTTTTGCCGGACAAACACATACACATACACACACATACACACACATGCATACACACAGACATACACATACATACAAACACACACATACATACACACAAACACATACACAATACACACATACATACAGACACACACATACATACACACAAACACATACAGACACATACATACACACATACATACAGACACACAGACATACACATAAACACATACACACATAGTCATGACCCGGCTTTGCCCGGGACTTGTATCCACCACGCCCGGCCGCCTTTGTCTCCCCAGTGGCGATGTTAATACGCCACACCAGTTACTCGTTTTGAGGCTGAGTCCCTCCCTCGCCACTCTCCCTCCCTCGCCACTCTGCCTCCCTCGCCACTCTGTAGAGGACGTGAAATTTGTATGAATTTACCTCAGAGTGGCGTGTTGGGTGTCGAGGCCTAGCACCGTGCAGAGCCTCCCGCCTTGCCTGATTTTCCCACCCGGCGAACGCTGGGTACGGGTGCCGGTCCCCCCCCCCCCGCGCTATTAAAAATGGCGTCCACCCCGCGGCGAAAAGTTGCTACTCGTTGCCAGGGGCAACCGCCGTCCAATGAAAGCGGCGAAGGCGTCGTTAGCTGTTGCCAGGGGCAACCGCCGTCCAATGAAAGTGCGTATGGTCCGAAATCCACACACACATACACAGACAGACAGACATGCACGATTTTATATATATAGATTTCCTGGAAATAATATACTAAATAATGGTATAGTATACTGAGTCATCGTGTCCATTTATTCACTACCTGAGAATGATTTACGAATAAAATACGTTTCTATTGGCTATACTTTATAGTGGTCGGTTGCCTAAAAAGTGTGTGCTCAGAAGCAATTAACCAAATTGTAAACACCACTGCCAACTTCATTGGCATATACTCTAGAATTTATTGGCCTAATTGAACCAGTTGCTTCTCTACTGTATATCTATGACTTTTCTAAAACGTACACTGTACATTACACACATTTAGGGTAACAGTTTACAGGCCATATGGTTGCCTGTAATACAGGAAATAGGGTTGCCCTATATATCCGTTTCCCTATTATCTGCTACTCCTATTATAATTGACGTCATCACATCTACCCCTCTATTAAAGGAACGAAAACAGGAGGATTTCTCCACAAATCTGGCTGCCGCCTGATGATGCCGGTTGTGTTTACTGGCGAAACGTCGTACTCAGATTGTAAATGTTGTGGCTTGGCTCTCCAACACACCGGTTAGTGCTGAACTAGTGACGAAATGGTCATGTTCTGTTTACGTGACAACCCTTACTAGTTGGCTGTGTCGGGTGGTGGCGGGTTTAACGACACATTTTATATTTACACGATATAATAAAAAAAAACTGTTATGGATGATATTGGTTGTGAAAGCCTATGTGTTAACCGCGTATCCTTTGATACGTAAATGATTGCTACATGTAACTGTGATGCCATTACAAGTACAAACGTATAACGTGTACATTTTAAAGATTTATTACACAGAGGTGAGGTTGAATTTTTTTCCCAACTCATGTATGAAATGATACACTCATACAGAGTGCTACAAATGTAGATGTTGCTCTACATTCTCTCGTGCAAAGTTGACATTTTACTTCAATAAATAATTAAAAGCAATACATTAACGAGCTCCTAACCTTACTCTTAAAGTAACCTTTAAAATTCACGTAAAAAAAAAAAAACTCTTACCAAACACATTGGAAATCTTGTTTTAAAGAAAACGTATTTAATAACGTGAAATAGTAATTCAATCAACTCGATTGCCTCAATGCTTACTTCCCGTGATCACAAATTGATTAACATCCACGCAGGAAACCTCCGGACAAGAATTGCCTCCCGCAGTACCAACACGCGGCGCTGCGCGTGTACACGCGGTTCTTCTCCGATGCCCCCGAGGAGGGCAATCGAGTCGCCTACCTCGCGGGTACCGGCTGGACGCTCGACGTGACGGCGCTGGTCCGGGAGAACGTCATCGTGAAGGACCAGAAAGTGGCCAGCATCATTGAAGGCGACGTTCTCATCGGAACGGCGCCCGGTTCTACCATGCTGCAGGTGAGACGCCAACATTCCCCAACGCTCCCGACAACATTCCCTTCCGTTGGTGCCATGGTGGCGGACCCCACGGTTTAGGTTAGGTTTCATGCTGGCACGGGCAAAACCCATTGGGCAATAAACACTCATCTTCGATGGGGACCCGGTCACACCATAGAAACCCAATTCTAGATTTGAAGTTTTCGTGACTGCAAGGATCCATACTCTTTGTTTTTTCCAGTAAAGTCACGTAGGTAAAAAATCTAATAAAAATAAATTCAATCACGACGTTTCGGAGGCAACACAAGCTTCTGTCTTCAGGTGGCACCGTCACAGCAAAATTACTGTATCACTTGATACAGTAATTTTGCTGTGACGAAAAAACCAAAGAGTATACCATAGAAACCCGTTTGCAGCAGCAGCAACAACAACAACAACACACCAGAACAAAACAAAACAAGACAACCCACTCGATACCGCGTCCGCAGAATGACAGCTGCACCGACCAGTGTGCGTACCAGTGAGAAGCCGAGGTCAAACCGGTGATCGAACGTGACACGACGCTCCTGCGCGCTTTAAAGCCGCGTTTATGTTTTTGCCGTAGAATGGGCGACACATTTCTCCTCCCCCCCCCCCACGTTATTTTTCCCAAACGCCTCACGCACGCAGATGGTTGCACTGCAGCTCGTTGGGGTCACTATGCGGTTGTGGTGCACACAACTCTCCAATGTGCGTGTATCAGGCCGCGTGCTGACAACTTCAACATCCAGTTCCCGAAGTAGATCCCAGCACGTGGCTCGAAACGTCGGGCATCAGTGCCGCGGAACACGCGGTACAACCCAAGAACACATCGGAGAGCTCTCGTGGCACAACTGCGATAACCTAGCATCACTTTATGAGTAGCTCATCTGATTCTGTACCGCAGTTAATATCGTGAAGGGTTTTCAATGGACGCATGTGGGGTAAGGGAGCGCACTTGCTCATGAATTTCAAAGTGCTGCACTGTGTGTATTTCACTCGTGATATTGCTCGGCTAGCAGAGCTCTACGGAGTGTGCCCTTGTGTGACAGGTATCCTAAGCTTGTGGCTTATCCGTATAGAGATAATAAAGATTGCATGAGATTTCCCGAAAGAGAGACCTTAATAGGCGTCTGTAATGGCAAAATTACCCCCAATAAAATATAGTATTCCCAGAGGCAAACTGGGGCAGTCTTGTAAACAAGCTTTATGAAAACTTAATGAAGGCCCTGGTATAAATATGCATGAATGCTATACGCATTTTCTTATGTAAATCAACACTGCTACTTACTATATCATACTGGAAGTGTATGATTAGGCTATTGTGTTCATATACCGAATTGTTAAGCCAATTCTCACAGTTGGTGTCAACATCGCTGATTCTCCATAACCTCCAGCTACCCCACTGCTAACCAGTTGGAACTATGTTTTTTTTTTATTAAAAGTTACAGTTCTATGCTTTGTGAACGCAATACAAAACTCACATATGCAAAACTATAGGGTATACGATAGCAAAGCAAATCGGTTATCTAAAACGATGTCATTTCTGTATGCCATTCTACCGATTAGCAGTGATTCAAGCTTCCACTTAATTTAACTCGGTTAAACACATTTATTCCAGTCATTCGAGATAACCCTTGTCTTGCCAAGTACAAATGACCATTGTGCTCATTTCAGTTTAGTCCTCACGTGCTCCTAATGGCCGCACGGACCCCTAATGGCCTACACGGACCAATTACAAACCATCCGATGCGAGGAGAGTTGTGCAACATCCCTTTCTTAATCATCGATCCCCCATTGATTCCAAAACCCCATCCCCCAGGTGCTGTCCCCGCTGTCAGACTCGATCCTGGGGGAGCGCGCGGTGACGGTGAGCGAGGAGAAGGTCTCCGTGAGCGGGCTGCACGTGACGCTGCTCTCGGGCCTCTCCCTGTCGCTGCGGCCCAGCAGCAGCGAGCCGAGCGTCATCGTCGCCCGCACCACGGGGCTCAGCATCTTCACGGCCAGCAAGCAGGTACGAGCCGCAGTGGGGTTGTGGTGCTGCAGCCTGACCCACCTAATGGGGGGGGGGGGGTGGTGATGTCAGGATCTAACTCCGGTGGAGGCTCTTCCTCCAGCAGTGGCAGGAGCAAACATTTTTTTGCAGATCTGTACGTACGTATGTTGAACTTCGTTCGCGCCGTACGAAGCCGACCGTGCTAGTTGGCGGTGCGAGGGAAGAACAACGAAGTGGGGGAGAGGACAACATCTCTGCGCACCTTTAACCCTTCATGCAGCTAAAATGAAGTTGTTTGCGAGGAGATTTGCACCGAGTGTTTACTGTTATCATCATCGTCAACCATGGCCATAGTCAATCCACTGCTGCATGAAGGCCTGCCACTGCTGATCCAATGATGTCGAGCGGCGGGCATGACGGTTATTGCACCGCTTTAGGAACGCGGTTTCCTGCGTTAGATTCCCGTCCACGGCCAAGATCGGTAGCGAGCGATGCCTGTGACTGTTTTGGGCATTATTACCCCTCCCTTCACTAACCTGCACTGACCGGCGTGGTGAAGTGTGTTACACAACCCCCATGATCGACGTGGCATGGAGAGGCCTTCATCTAGCGTAGCATTGACAAAGGTCCTCATATCATTGTATATAGAATGTTTTTTTCTTTATAGACGTGAGTGTTGATTTAGAAGGTGTGTTATCTAGCAATAATTATATTATCCAGCAATTGATGTGCATGAGATCTGCAATGACACATTGGCAATTTAAATCATCTAACACTCGGTAAGAAAACATCCTAACTCTTAACGTAATCTGTTTTGAAGAGTTTTTCTGTGTTACAAATAGTTTTTTTAGTTCGTACCTAATGACTAAAGAGTCTTATTTTTTAAGTGTTGTCCAAGTACCTGGTGACATGCTACAATATTAAGACGTGTAAATCGAAAACACCAGCTTTTGGCTCAATGGACTGGACCTAAATATAAAATTTACATTTTGAGCTTTTTACATTTAACCATACCGAGAATCTAAAATATCATTGTATTATTAAAAAAACAATTATGGTTTTGGATGCATCCTAAAGGGGCGTTATGATGATTAAAAGCCAACATTTAACACCTCGTAAATGTTACTGCAAAATGTAATTTTAAATTTAATAAGAGTTATCAAAAATATTTTTTTTAAACTACTGTCACACAATTTAACTGTGTTAATTTCTTTCACGCGATCCTTTGACTGCTGCTTCTTTCAACCCCTTTGCAGAAAGGAACGCTGCGTGCTTGGATACAATTCAGTGATGGCACCACATCGCCTCTCCACTTTTACCAGCCCAAGGATTACAACATCGTCGTTAGCACATTGCAGAAACATATCCTGTCCATTGACGTGAATCCCCACTCACCGATGCCAATGATAATAGCGGAAGGCGAGGGTAATGGGAGAATAAAAGTGGAACTAAAAAATGCGCACGTGTGCCAGAATTCCGTGGAGCCAAGTACATTGATAACATCTGCAATATTCGTACCGGTCAACTTTATCGATCTGGGAGGCCAGCCGTTGGAAAACGACGCACAACCTAGCACCTCATCCAACACTGACATTGGAAGGACACACCCTGGCCAGTGGGACAATGGTAACGATGGATCTCAGGACAGAAGAGGCTCTGAAGACAATGAGAGACCTGCGGACAACCGGAACGTCCCTGACACAAGTCCTTCGGGAAACAAAGACCTCGAGGAACAGCTGTCACAAAAGCCCCGTCGCCTATCTGACCTGCAAATAGGAATGTACACTTTGTTGAGTGTATTCTGCCTGGCCATACTGATGTTCCTGGTGAACTGCTTGTTCTACGCAGTACAGTACAGGAAAAGGCACACGCGGAGGGGACAGCAGGAGGAGATGGCCCATTCTCACGAATGGGTCTCCCTCAAAAATTCAAGCAGCACAATTAGTGCAAGGGCCTTAGACGCCAAGGAGCCGTATCCTGCCACCGTCAATCACATCGTCGACGACGGAGGCTTCGGGAGTGGCAGCAGCCCAAAGATTTACATCCAAACGCATCGACACAGGCACGCGCTCGAAGCGCCTCCGCAGTCAGAAGAGTCGCACCGCAAGTTCGATCTGTCCACGTCGCCCACGTCGCAGAGGAAAAAGGTGACATTTGCCACCTTCACGACGTCCAGCCCTTGCGAAATCCTCCGGCACCACAGCTGCAGTGGACTGGTCGGCGAAAATGAGGCGATCACGTCATTTATATCCAACGCAGAAATAATGGGAGAAGTAAAAACAGTGACAGATTTTGCACAGAGAAGAGAATGAACAATACGGCAGTGCTACTGATTGAAGAAACAACCTATAAATATATATATATGTGTATATATATATATGATTTCCGTAGCACTGGTCTACGACTGTCCCAGCATAATTTTCTTTCTATTGCATACTGTACCTGTTAGCTGGCAATCTAATGGTGTCTGTAAATGTTTGTATACTTTGGAGAAAACAGTCTTTTATAAATGCAAATACACAATTATTATTATTAGAATTGTTGTGGAGAATGTCAGTAGTGAAATGGATGAGTGGACAATATGTTTCCCTACATATCCGTCTCTCTATAGAAGATTTCACGTAATTTTTCTGCACAGTCCGTCGGCCCCACGGGCTTCCTGGTAGTGCATAATTTTAGCAGCACTGAATCAATGTTACTGAATCAATGCTGCTGGAATTATGTACTCCCAGAAGGCCGTGAGGCTGATTGGTTGTGTAAAAAAAGAAAACTTGCATTTTTTTTACGTGGAGATAGAGATATATAAAGGAGACATACTGTCTAATTAAAAGTGCAAGGCTTTGGTAAATAATTAGAGCTAGTGTATGCAATTTACGAGGCCATGCTTGTGTGCATATCCATGGTTTAATGGTCATTTGTTACTCTTATTAGCTAAAAAAAATTTTAATCGTAAAATAAAAACTCGATATTTATTGGTTTCTAAACATTTGTCAAGCAACGTCAAACGGGACGTACACATTTTGACAGCTGTCTTTTTTAAAACACTCTGTTCTTGATTAACGGTATATTTCTCCTATTTAAACACTGATAACACAGTCACTCAAATAGTGTGCTTTACAATTTGCTTTAAAACAATGTTTTTTTTTTACAACCATTTCAAATAACACAATGGATAGGCACATCATTGTAATATAATTAATTATAAGTTCATATATAACTGAATTAGCTGAAACGTGCAAATCTATAAAAACTAAAATCTGGATAAAACAAATATACCAAAACAAACACACAATTTGGAGTTGGCTTTGGTGGGGCGCTACACGTAGCTTTAATACGGAAATATGTAGGTTGTGTTTCTGGATTACAAAAGTGGATAACAGCAACAGCGATTACATTCATGAATGACCCACTTCTTGTGAAATGAGACGGGATCATGCAGAAAGTAGAGTTCGGAGCTGTTTCTGTGAAGTTAAACTGCTCTCGTTAGATGCACGAATTTATGTTCTGTCCACTCCAATTTCCTTTCACTTGCAAAACGACTCGAAGGTCCAATGGCCTAAGCAGTTTTTTCTTTAAAACAGACTTGAAGATTAGCCAGGATTTCCTCAGTAAAGATAAAAAAAACTCTCTCTATATATGTAAATCTGGAATATGTAGCACATACAGCATTCTTCCTTTTTACATCTTAGACATTATATTATTGGTTCTTTCGGTAAAGTCACATCGAAGAATATGAATCCCTGCAGTCACGAAAGCTTTCAATCTAAATCTTATACATTACTGTATATATGCTGGTGCAGAGCAGAAACACAAGACCATTTTTTTTGTAATGGAATAAGTCTCGAGATATGTTTAAGTGGTTATTTTAAAATGGTGTGTTGCAACATTTTCCGTCGTCATACATTGGCATGTCTGATACTCTCCCAATTATAAGGCGCATATTTTTCCCCTGTATTTTTTTTACCAAAAGTTGCAAGTGAATCAGATAATCCTGTAGGTGTATGCGTGTGTGTTTGTATGTGTGTACAGGACCAGATTTGTTTTTAAAACTTTATTAACACCGAGCACAAAGCCTGGGTGCATTTTACTTTCAAGTGAGTGTGTCTTATAATCCGGAGAATATGTTAGTTCCACTACAAAATTACAATTATGAGATTTTAGCAATATTCATAATAATATAATATGGCTGTTTTATTATATTATTTTCTTCAATAAAATAATTTGAACCGCTACACTTTCATTCAAATGCATCACCAGATATCCTTCCAGACCGCTATATGTTAAAATGAAAGAAACACCGACATTTTTGGCACAAAATTTATTTTTTCTGTGACGTTAACAGTATTTTTGTTCTTGTTATTTTAGCGTGTTGTGCTACGATGTGATACGATTTTTTTGTATCTATATAAGTATGTTAATGCCTTACAAACACTGTCCCACAATGCTCAATAATGGTGCCTTGTCATAGGCATGAAAACATGTAGACTGTAAATACCTAAACTTACACCGGATTAGAAATTAACAGTGATGTGTTATCATATGAATCTTTTGCAGTGTTTGAGATAGTATTTTGAAATGTAGAATTGGTACTGACACAAGAAAAACGCTCTAATTAACCATTATGAGTGGGGCTTTGTTTTAATTGGCATTATACTGAAGATATCGGACCTTATTCATGGTGTGGCGATAAGTAATTTTCCACCAATATTCGGTGGTAAATTCGCCAACTGTGTGAAAAATTGCAGAGATATGGCCACCTACATTTTTGGATATTTGCTGACGAATTTTCAGTCGAAAATACCTTATCGGCAAATTAATAAGTAAACTTAATTTTATGCAAACTCGTGTACGTGATATCCACACAAATAAATCAATATTTGTTTGTATGATGTAAAACTGACCGGAGTGATATGTTTTGAACCATCACAGGTTTAATCAGAGACCCAAGTTTAAACAAATTGGAAATCTAGGGATTTTTTTCTTCTTTTATTATTACCCAGTAAAGGCTTATCTAAACCAAAAAAAACAGCCTGCTATATTTTTCATAGAGTAGTGTAAATTGTGTTAGCATTTATATATGAATATAACTTTTCATTTAAAATACCATGACAATCTTTGAGAGGAAATGTTGGTTTATTTTTATATGAATATAACACTACTTAATCAAGGAGCATGGAGAGTTTTTAATACATTGGCTAATCGTGACTGAAAATGCCACCCAGGCTATTTAAGTTCAACACTTCAATTGTAAACCTTTGAATTGGCTGTTCATTTCAGCTTTGAGCGAAAAGTCAGGCAAGCATCATAGTTGAAATAAACAATCTTTCTTGAACATAGGTGACGGCTGAATTATACTGCATTCGTGAAAGTTGAGAAATAAGTCACTTTAACTTTTACTTGTCGTTAAATTAAGTTCACGTCTGCTTTATTTCGTTTTCTCTCTCTCTCTTTCATGAGGCCAACAATTTAGAGGCACTTACAGATTGCCAGCCAGCACTTTTCCAACTTTAAAATAAGTTTTCTCTTGATGTCTTGGAAAGTATCATTGTAGCTGTGATGGTGGCAGTGGGAATTTAATAGCACATCGACATCACAAAACGAGACCAAAGGCCTCAACAAATATCAGTCAGAAACATGATACGGTGTACACACACAACATTATAAATACTATGGGTTGCCTTTTGTGCAGTCTTGTATAATAATGGAATTGTTTAAAACAATGGTAAAAATGGGATTCTTGTTCACATGCCTATTGTACAAATGAAAGCCACTTTTTGGCATAATCGATCTTACACACAGATGCGTGTAATTTTTTTTGGTCATGTGTACGCTAGATTCTCATAGTATCCAGTTCAACAACACAGGTCTGTGCTGTTATCGATTATAGTTACAGAGGTGTACGTTGCTGTACATGTATACCACTGTTACATGTATTGTATTATAAAACTTCACGTGTCATAGAAAGCTGTTGAACTGGCAAATACGCTGCTTTAAAAATGCATGTTCAATTTTTAATATTTTTTCTGTTTCCATAAGTATTGTAAGTAATCATCAAAGGTACCATTAAAGTGGACATATAGATGCAAACTTGCTGTTAATATAAAGACCAGTTACTGCCAACAATGCTGTAAAATTTTGTCAAAATAAAGTTTGTTTTTTAAATAAACAAATTGTTCACGATCAAAATCAATTCATGGCAGATCACCATTTTGTCGATGAGCAAAGGTGAAGGTACAGACCTGTTACTGTTTGCTCACACCACTAGCGGTCGAAGGTTCTCCATGAGAGTGAGCTCTAGAAATCCCCCCAAACAGAGGGTATTTTGTTCTATTCTTCCACGCTAATGAGTAATGATCAGGGATTAATTTATGTGTTGGTGGAAAGGCAGTTTCTACTGACATTTGGTGGGAAAATGGTTACATCACCACCATTTGCAGATTTAGCAGCTCCCCCCTTTCCCCACAGAAATGTCGCCGAACTGTCTTTTCACTAGGTACAGGCTGTCTTTCTGGGTGAAATGGTTTCCATAGGTGTGCAATATCTTCACATGAAGGGGACCCAGTGTCAAACTACAAATCACAACTGCATACAATTATCAAACGTAGTAGCTCTCTCAAGCTCGATTGCACCCTATTTCATTCAAGATGCTTGACACCAATGGTCTATGGAAACAGCTAATTAAAGCTTGTTTACACAGGCTGACAAACACTCGGTAATAATGTTGTGGGTTTACTCGCCAACACAACCGGTGTGCTGAACTAGTAGCTAATTGACATGTCTTCTTTACATGACAAACCTTACTAATTGGCTGTGTCGGTGTGGTGGCGGGTTTAACGACACATTTATATTTACACGATCTCACCCAACAAACCTCTATTATGGATAATGTTGGTCGCGAAAGCTCACGTGTTAAACCAATATGGTTTTGTTGGGGTTTTCAGGCCCAGCCCGCAAAACTTACTGGTACAGGAGTTATTGTATTAGCACAATGAAACACGGTACAACTTTAATTAAAAGCCAATGAGTTGTTTCTTTGGCTGGAAATGTTTACACTTTAGAAATTGCATGATGCGTCGAACGGTGCTATTATCACAGCAATTCTGTCCGAAATGTAAAGAAATACTTTTTTTTCTATCTACGTTACTTTACTGAAAGACCCAAAGAGTATAAATATATAGTGTAGTATCTCGGTCTTGTATATGAAATAACATTGAACAGCATCCCCTACCCCTCAACGCAGAATTTCTCAGACCCGGCACGACCACTACATTATTATTGCAACATTTCCCTTCCTTGTCATTCTAGTATTTGTGTAATGCGTTCAGGAGCGAAATGCCAATGTCGAGGTCTGCTCGCCACGCGAGGGCTTCAGCAGAGAGTTGGCGTAGTTTTGCTATTCCTTCTCCATTCAAGGAGTGCAGACTCGCGATGGTTTTACTACATGGTTAATAGTTTGGGTTGTATGGCCACAATCACACTGACCTCCATCACACCCCTCATTAAATCCAATGTATAAATCAGATACGTGCTAGACTCTATAGCGCTTTCATCATCTTTTATCTATCCAGGTGACAGCATAACAATGAGAGCAATTCTTACATATGTTGTACGATTTAGTGATTATATTTAACATGCGCAGGTAATTGCGCTCAATGTATGGTTGTTGTAAAATGAATTTGTGTATAGCATGTGTCCAGTTTAGAATTCATATTAATTTAATCAGCTCGGCAACAGCAATCAAATTAAAGTGCATTATTAAAGTTCTCATGAAATTTAATAACATCTGCTATAAAAATTGTGTCATTTTGGTAACTGAATATAATTTGCCTCGACTTGCTTTTGAGATCACATCATGGACATGACCAAAATTAATTACTACAGATTAAGCGTTTGCTTTTTAATTGGAAGAGTATGCATTCGAATATTCAAATAATCCAAATTATGGCTTGTGCAACAGAATATTGGTTATTAAAATGTGTGAAAATGCATAAAATCGCGTTTTGAGAATATAATACGATATTGACATCTCTTCTTATTTCTGCATGCACGAACGACAACAGATCAGGTATTACTTTTAGTGGCCCTAAACAAGTGGTGGAAATTATACATTCTTCTGACAGAAGCAAGTCTGTCCATCGGACTGCATTGAACCAAGTCGGATGATGATCCCAGCGTACAAAACATGAATAGGTCGATCCGCAAGCTGTACCCGACATGGTGCACGTGGCGTTTAAGAAACCTCTATCAGAAAGCGTCTCATTGTTCAGTGACTTTTTGAAATTCAATGCTGCTGTTTAAATGACGTGATGTCATGTATTGCATTCCGCTTGAAGTAATCTGTCAATCAACTTACCACGGCGTAGCCATTTCGCTACTGGATTTATATAGAGTCGCCTGAGACTACTAACATAACGTGCGTTCAGACATTTTGTAGTAGATGCAGTGTGCTACCCTCTATATTACTACACTGGCTCCACATGGCACAACCGAAAATGGCTAAGACATCGTGTATATCATAGACCGTGGCCTCTATTAAAACGTCCCAACATTTCTCACGAACCTTGCCGTCGCCCAACAGTGATGGGACATTTACGATTGTTTTACTGCCGCAATAACAATTGAAGAAGAGCACGAGTATCATTTCATGCTTGATAAGAAAAAAGAGAGAACGTGCTATCTTATTATCATCATTTTTATTGCCGTGCTAACCCCCAAGAGCACGGTTGTGGAAACCTCGTTGCTAATTAAGCTTTCAGAGATGAAGGAAACTCACCAGTTACCATATTTATTTTTTCGTTTTTCCTATTTTTACACGATGTATTTGGCAACAAGAGATTCTGTCCCTCTGTGAATGTGTAAGTAGAGTGAATCGTGTTGTTATTAGGTAAAGATGCAACAGCCCTTGCCGTTGCTTGCGCAAATACACTCCTGGTTCCAGAGGTCTCCAATGACGGGAGGTCGTGAGAGCCCCACGCTGGCCGAGATGTCTTGGTCGGAGGACACTTTACCCCGCCACACGTGACGTATTGATCGACTGCGTTGCCACTAATCGCCTCTCAAAGAAGAAGGTTGACCTCGTTAGGTGATTAACTGTATGATGCTATGCCGTTTCTTTGTTATAAAACATACCTTTAATTATTATTTTATACACCTAACTTAGACCTCAAAGGTATATTATTTGGATTTAAAACACAATTCCGATTTTTTTTTTTTTTTACAAACGCATCCGCACGGCCTCTGCAACTTCCATAGCTACAATAACAACAACAATAACACAAATGCATTTCACACGAAATAATAATCATTATTATAATTCGTTCAGTAATTAATGTTGCTGAAATTATGCACTCCCAAAAGGCCGTGTGGCTGATGAAATGTCTAAAAAGAAATACGTTAATATATTTTCAATGTATATAGCCTCTAAATGCAACTGCGGGGACGAAAGTGAAGCGAGAGCATGCGGCTGAATGAAGGGGGAGACACATGGGAGAGAGAGAGAGGGCAGAGTGCATCGCCCTGACACAGCCCAGCGGCCAATGAGGCCAAGTCCAAGGGGATGAAAGTAAATGGGGACCCCGAGTCAACAATTCCCAGGGGTAACGATGGGAATGCAACACCAATGAACACCAGGAACAGCCGGGGGAAGCCAGGGCAGCAAGGGCAGCACCAATGAGTCCCAGGGCAGTCTTTGGGGACCAGGGTATTTCACCAATGAGTCCCAGAACTCCGGTCATCCTTGCAGGAGCGTGCTTTTGGTGAACCATCGAACAAAGACGGTGACTGCATCGCGCACTTTCAGATGCGCTTCTGCGGCCGTCTGGAACGCTCTTCCTTCTGGTTTTAGGGGGCTACTGAAGCTTTACACTTTTAAATCAAAATTCAAACTCGTTTCTTTAGAACCACTTTGTGTTTAGTTTGTTGTCTTTCCCCCACACCTACGTTGGCTACGTATAGCGCGTAAGAAACTCAACATACATACATACAGAACTGCCTGAGGTACAAAAACCTTGACATATCACAGAGCAATATACCTCACATTACCAGAAGAGTGGATAAATGCGTTTCAATAAGTGGTTATTATAACGTAACTGACAACAACTGGGACGTTTAATGTTTCGAGGACGATTTGCAGATTTGTCAGTACAGCTACCCCAAAATAATGACAATCCTAGGCAAAATCAAGACACAGGTAGCAATCCGAGGCCCAAACTTTCTGAAAGAGTGTGCAATCATGATACATAATGTCCATTTATACAAGGAAGCCTCACTGTGCACGAATATACATTTTCAGCAGGGTTCTGGCATTTCAGGAACAATTCATATTTCAGTTTAACACGTGCTAGGCTTTCGCGACCAATATAATCCACAAGAGGTTTTTTGTGTTAAATCGCGTGAATATAAATGTGTCGTTAAACCCGCCACCACCCGACACAGCCGATTAGCAAAGTTTGTCAATGGAAACAAAACATGCCAATTCGTTACTAGTCCAGCACACCGGTGTATTGGTGAGTTATTGTAAATGTCGTGGGTTTACTCTTCAACACACAAACCGGTGTGCTGAACTAGTAACAAATTGGCCCGTTTCATGCACGTGACAAACCTCACTAATCGACCAACAAAAAAAAACATCTATTTTGAATTCTCGTGCACTCCACCAAAGCGATTCGCTCAGGCTGCATCAGGGAGTTTGCAGAGGAGCCCTAGCTGGTGACACACACGAACCCCGGGGGCAGACGAGAGGCGATGCTGCGGGAGTGAGGACGCGGAAAGGAGGGCATGCAGAGATCGAGGGACAACGGAGAGGTGAGCCCCAAGGAGATGCAAGGAAATAAAATAAACAAGGCAGGGGAAGAGGAGGAGGGGGGGATAAATAACAAACCCACGAATGAAATCGAACACGAGGGAGGCAGAGAGGTGGGGACCAGATAAAGTTTGAGTTGGGGCAGTGGCAACATTGTAAGCCAGGGCACAGCCATCTCAAATCCAAGGAAAGGTCAGAGAGTGGGAGACGGATACATCTGGAAGGCAGCTATATTCCCACTATGCATACATATTGATCCAGTATGAGAGAGCAGGTGGAGTGACGATACGTTGGTAAGCACACTGCGCTGCACGGTGAACCACCAGTGTCCCGAGTTTAATTCCTGACCACTGCTAAACATCGGTGGCGAG